TATCTATATATCTATATATATATATATCTATATATATCTATCTATATCTATATATCTATATATATATATATATATATTGAATATGTAAATGTTAGCTGTGTGACAATGCAGCCATATGCACTGACCTGATAAACACTAATTTGCAAAAGAAGCTTAAAAGAGCACTTTGTGAAGAGGTGATAGAGGGAGAGGATGAAGCATGGTTTATACTGAGCTTGAAGGAGGTTCAGACGCAGGTGAGTTGGAGAGGGAAACAAGGAAGGATGAACTGGTTGATTGGGGGAAAGAGGAGAAAGGAGAGTGAATACTGGATTTCTACTGAGATACAGCAGCAGTCGAAAGAGCCAAAGGGAGGAAGGGTAGTGAAAGGCACAAGGACCGAAAGTGAGAAGAAGGTTGAGGGAAACAGTAGTTTGAAATAGTGGTTGTGTTTAATTCAGAGGTGATCGAGGAGACTTCTACCTGAATGCCCCTGTCCCGCTGTCTTTGATATTAAATCAAGTTTTCAAACAACCTGGCTTCCACTGAACATTATAATTACTTTGTCAGCTAAGTGTTTAAATACAGAACTGTGGTTAGAGCTGAAACCCTCGTTTGAAGCGGAACAGCCCATTGAGGTGAAAGGAAGTTGAAGGGAAACCACCACAAATCAAAAAAAGATGAATTTAAAAGTGTTCATTACATGTTAACTGCCGCTGGGTCACCTAGCCTCACAGCTGGAATTAGTGTGAAAGACCTGATGTCCCGAGGCTGATGGGAATGTTGTTGTTTTTGCAGGTATTTTATCATACACCTAAATATTGTACAAGTAGAATGTTGACCTGGTGATGCGATAGATAAAGAGAAAGTAAAGGCATCACCAATATTAGTGAACATGAATTACATGGCAGTTCTGGTAACTGTTCACTCAAAACTACAAATGTCAGCCTCATGGTGGCACCACTGAACAAAACAGGGATGATATTTTAAGGGCATAAAAAGCGTACTGATAGGAACAGGCAGCTGGTGGGTATAGGCAAACAGAAACTCATTACAGCAACGAAAAATGAACCAACAAGGGACCTGAGGCGGTATAAATAGTGACCTACTAACAAGGGAAGTGAGAACAGGTCAGTAGGAGGCGTGTTGAGTGCAGACTAATGAGGGACAGGTGACTAATTCGCGGCAGGTGAAACTGATCTTGTCGCGGCAGACAATCAAAAAGGCGGGAAAAGTTACAGAAAAACAGGAAGTTAAACCAAACATGACACGAGAAAAGTTCACTTTCAAAATAAGACAGGAAACAGACAGCAGTAAGATTTACAGACGGCCCTACAGGATGGCGAGGAGGGGTTCAAAAACTGTGAGGTTCTCGAAGGATGAGCATTTGTGGGGCAAAATAGGGCCACACAAGATGTTCAAATGATGGTAGATTTTAGTGTGAATAGATGGTTACAGAGTTTCCTGGGTGAGCGGTAGCAATCACACCTTGCTCTCGTCTTGGTTTGTCCTTGGACCATGAGGAGGATGAGCCCCAGCGACCCAATCTTTAATAAATGATATTAGCTTTCAATGAGTGATCTATAAAAATTGAGTCAGTGGTCTCCAGGGAGAGAGGGACACAAGAAAATCAGTCATCACCTCAGCAGTTTTGAATCGGCTCATTTCCGGCTTATCAGCAAACTGAGAACGGCAGCCTCCTCCCTTCACATCGACCTAATGGTCCCAATGAAGATCATAAAGTTCTTGTTATCTGAAAAAAACTGAAGCGATATAATGGACTGCTATCTTGAGGAAAATTAATTGGTACAAGGAGAGTAAAAAGCAGCAGGTATAGCTCAACCCCCCCTGCTATCAGTGCTGCGAAGAGATCCGAATGGACACATCAAACAGCTGCCTTTGGTGTTACAAGAGATTTATCCTTAGCCAGCAGATTGAGGGATCAGTGTTAAGCACTTGGTCGTTGAGCTCCAGGATGATGTTGGAGACGGAGGTGTCCACTTGATCCAAGACAAAGCAGAGGCACATGCTGACTGCGTGCCAGGTCTGCCAAACTTTAATTTTTTTTTTGGGGACCCACGTTTTAAAAATGACAAACCATCGCTCCCCAAGTCCCAATAGGGCTTAGCTATAACTTGGGAGAAGAGCTAATTTGTGCGTAAATGAATGTTCCTGACCTTATTTACTGTCATTGGGAATAGCTGTGATGGAGACACCTGAGAGAATAGATGGCAGCTTGGCAGGGCCTGTCTTAGCATGGCTGACGAGACGAAAGAAAGCAGTCTTTTCCGATCTACTCGGACGCGCTTCAGTTGAGAGAAAACAAGACAGTGTAAACCATACTGAATTGCATTTGAAACAAGCAGGACGTCATGAACAGTCATGTGAAAACAACAGGAAATGAGTGTCAGTGTAGAGTTGAGCACAAAGGAGTGTACTTTTGAGTTGTCCATGCTTTAACCTAATCAACATTAAATTCACTGTTACAGACATTTTTGTGAAGCATTCATATGCTTTTTATGAAACGGTGGTTTCATAAATGATGCTGGAGTGTCGCCCTTACATTCTCACCCAGCACTGTCCTTGAACTGCCACAAACAAGGACACATTGAGCATCTTCCAGCAGTGAATCGCCCTGCTTCATTTTCTCCTTTGCCACTGCCTGAGGGCATGGTCGGCCTGGGGCGGATTCCCTCTCGGGCTGCCTTCTTTGATTAACCAGTCCATGGAGGAGTATAGATGTAAAGCAACCTTGGTGGTTTACTGTTAAAAGATCCTGACAAAAAACACAAAAAAACAACTGAATTTACAAGTGACTGTAGATTATAAGAATTTTACATAAAACCAGGCGTCAGTTCCTGCCACAAAGATGAACACCAGGAGCATCTCCTTTGACTGCATTAAAGGATGGCTGCATTTTGTAGACTCATACCATGTTTAATTGAGCTTTTACACCCATATAAACTTTATATTACAGCGATAACTGTTCCGAAGCTCAACATAAATGGTCACATCTCTCCAAAAAAACTCATGGGTGCTGTTAAGTCCTTTTAATTGGGGCCTAAAATAGCAGTGGCATTAGGGTTGGCAGGCGGTCTGATATAATGTACAAGTAATGTCGTTTTAATATGGACGTAGGTGACATTCTCTTTCAACATTGGTGTGAATCTCATTTCTGGCAGTTGTTTAATAACACTACTTTGTCTGATAATAGGAAGTTAAAATTGAATAAGAGACTGGTGACATTCTTGGACAGCCTGCAGTGCGGTGCGACTGTTCACATTATTTGGTGCAAGAAGTCTGCATCAAGGCATACACGTTAGCCCCGCTAGGGGCATGGCTCTAGGGATAGCGATGTCAGTCTGTCGGTCCCCCCCATTCGTATGGACTGAAATATGTCAGCAACTATTTGATGGATTGGCAAGTATTTTTGTTCAGACATTCATGCTTCCCAGCCAATCCCCTGACTTTCCTTCTGGCGCCACCAGCAAATTGAATTTTGTGGGTTCGAGTGTCAACAACTGTTGGATGGATTTGGTACACACATTCATTTCCCCTCAGGATGAATTGTGATCTGTTTGGCGGTCTTTTAACTTTTCATCAGGTGATTTTTTTTTTGTTTTTTAATTTGTCCTAGTCATTCATTCCCATCAGTCTCAGCTGTACTGCTTATTAGCAAATGTTAGCATGCTAAAACATGCTACAGCTTCACTATGCAGTGAACATGGTAAGCAGCATACCTACAGTAGCGTTGTCATTGTTAGCATGTTTGAATTGGCAGTTAGCTCAAGACACTGCTGTGTCTAAGTACATTCTCACAGACTGCTCCCGTGGCTGAAGACTGTTCGTCTTGTTGTATGACGTCACAATGATTTGTCAAATAAATATGTATTCAGACAGTTTTTGGGGATTACGGGAAGGAAAAAAATATATCTAATGAAAATTTTGTCATGGATTAATTAAACTTTATCTCAAATAACCCAGCCTGGTTTGATAAAAGCCATAATACCAGACACAATGTCAGAATGTCATAGCAGGAGCTAACTTTCACGTTCTAAAACTTCATTTCCACCTCAGCCAGTCATTATTAACCTACCTTGCTGTTAATGTTGAACTGTCCTCATACCTTACAGGGTATATGTGTTGTGAACAACTTTAAAGGCGTCCACAGTGCAGCAGCTAAACAGAAAACTGAAGACTACCGTGGTCTGCCTCTGATGACTTTCCCCCGTGTAGAGAGCCCACTGGAGACCCTCAGCGCACAGGTACTTGAAAACACTTAACCTGGATTCCCAAAAACCTAATCTCTATGGTGCACATTATGCTTCCCAATTAATTGGAAGAGCTCCCTCAAGACTGTAAGCTTACAACAACCTCCCCTTCAGAATTTAGCCTGCTGCAATTTGTTGTAATTTCCCAGAATTCGCATAGAGAAAGGGTCAGTCACATATTTGGTTGACCATGTGTTCTTTCTTTCTCTCTCTCTTTCTGTCTTTCTTTCTTTCAACACAAAGCAATGACACATGTTCAAAATAACATACAGGCATGACATTTTGCACTACACCCCTGTCCTCCTTCCCAAACGCACACAACCTCACACAGAGCACCCCTGATACTGTTTGACACTTATTTCTTCTACTTCTCCATTTCCACGCCTTTTTCCCTCACCTGTCTACTTTCTTTCTAAATCTCTGTTAATTCTTCTACCTCTATCTCCATCCTCCCCTCCTTCCACCACGTCCATTTTCAGAACCACTCAGCATCGATGACGGAGGTCACATGACTAAGGGGGCAGCACCGGGTCACGTTTGCGTCTCCACAGCACTTCCAGACACAATGACGAGGACGCATGCCACGTGGCTCTGAATGCTTAACAAAAAACATAGCTGATATATCTGTTTAATTCACCTGAGGGACAAATTACAACATGTTTCTAATGGTTTTCATCTAGTTGGGCTATGCTCAATTCAACCTGCCAAGGCGCACCTATTGCATCCGTGACAAAAAAAATCACAAGGCAAACTTAAGCACAGATTGTTTTTCCAGATATTTGGAACCATTTGAAACATGGGACATTATTTTCCCTCCACGGTGCGCTGTTTGTAGTTAGAGGACGGTGTTTTGTACATTTTGTATGAGCGAGTGCTGTAGCCTATCCTGACGGTGTTAAACCTGCGCACTTCCTGTCAGCTGACTCACCCTGTTTTACATCACATCCTGTCAGGTGACTTGCCACGTCGCTCACCACATCTATTCCCCTCAGTCTGAAAAATGTGCTTTGGAAAAAATATTGATGTTGTCGTTCTGTGATGTTTGTCATTTGTACAGGAAAAAAAAGACAGAATCCTTGTTTTTATTATCTCTCTCTGTACATTAATTGACCGTGTCAGGTCATATTTTGTAAAGATTTTTTGTCAATCTGTATGACTATTATGATCCATTTGGACCTGTTTGCCTGCTGTGTAAACCTGGATATGTTTTGGTATCAGTTTAGGTGTTTTGGGGAATGAACCCTTTCCCCTTTGGAGGAAACGATAAGGAAGAGTCAGTCACATCCTCCGAGTCAGAAAATGGGGTTTGGCACTTGCAGTGCCATGTTATGTGCAACAATGAATATGAAATAAAATGAACACTATGAGAGTGTTTCACCCCAATTTCCTGATTCACTGTGATGTTAATAGGATTTATTTCTACAGAGAGGTCCAGTGGGGCTAGCCTGTGCCAGATCTATCTGACGATTTCACTGGTATGGCAGTAAAATTAAGTTTAACCTGAAATCACAGCAGTAGACATCTTTAGAAAGTACATTTAAAAAAAGAAAAAAAAAGAAATGCTCTTTGGAGTGACACTGAGTGACTTACTTAAGGCCCGGCTAGCCCCTTTTATTGGAAACCAGGCTAATGACTCCTGCTTCACTTTTCCTCCATGAAGCACCCCTTTCCCTCCCCGACCCACCAGTGGATTGTGATGCAATGTTGTGACTCCATTTCCCATTGGAAGATACGCCTAGCATGAAGAGAGATGGTCAAGATGTTTTATAGATATTCATGATTTCAATTATACTCATTATCATTGTGATTATAAACGTTTTTTTACGTTAAGAACAAAAAAAAGTGTTTCATTTGAAATGCTACCTATATATTTTTTCTTCGTTCGACCACAAATTAAAATGTCAGTAGCAACAATGTGTTCTCTTGTCTTTTTCACTATGTGTCAGAGTACTGAAATGAAAGTGGTGTCTTCTTCTTGTCATAAACAAATGATGGCCAAAGACCGTTGTTTCAAACGTCTACATTTCAAATTCAAAGTTACATACAAAACTCTTGAGGCTGGGAGCAGGACTTCATCAGTCTTACCAAGTTACCTTGCCGGAATAACTGGAAAACAGGTCTGCCCTCGTGTTTGAGAATTTAGAGATTTGTTTTCTATACTTCCCTTTGGCCTCGCAGACAGCCCTACGGTAAATCCTCTGCTGATTACAAATCCTGTTATAACCTAAAGCAGGCTCATCTACAGCCTAAAGGTATGGCCACATTAACATATAACATCTTGTTCAATACAAAAAAATAAGTTTGTAGTCTGGTAGCGTCATCTACAAACACTGTGTATCAGTGTTTCCGTTGGCTGAATGCCCACGGCCAAAGTTGGACAAATGTGAGCTCCAGTTGAAGGGAATGGGAAACGGGGCATATTCTCAGGATGGAAGTGTGTGACCCTACCTCTAAATATTTGAAGGGTACATGTATAGTGTGCTATGGGCAGTACACAGTGGAGAGGTGGATGCTTCCCAGGAGGCTCGGTTCAGGGGGGGCAGTTATGCTTTAAATGCTCTTCAGATATGTAATCAAGCATAATGTGATGAGTTTATAAAATGGAAACTTTCTGGTAGGACTAGAGCACCTTCAGGGTTGTTCATCAACAAAAAACACAGCTGACATTTATTTTGGGAACTAGTGTGTGCGATTTCAAAGGCAAAGCTGGCTGCCTCATATTATTGCCTCTGAGAACAAGTAAGGAAAATTGTGGGATTAAGTTTCAGGTGAAGACAGGCCCCCAAAAAGTCAATATATTTCCCTCTTCACACCGCACCACACACCTGTCCAAGCACACATGCTACCCAGACATGTATTGGAGTGAGCTTAGATATGCTAAAACCAGAATCTTATTTAGGTTTTCTGTTGATTCATCCTGTTACGACTGCAGTGACGTCCGTGATGTTTATGTCACCGCTAAGCAAGGCATACACACAGAGAGACACAAAGGAAGCTGACGGCTCAGCCACTGCACTTGCTCTTTTGCTCTGTCAGGTATTCATTTCAGCTGTGACAGCCTGCGCTTACCCTGCAGACACACTGGCTAAATAGATAGCAGCTGTGTGTGTGTGTTTGTGTGTGTGTGTGTGTGTGTGGCAGTATTTGACCATGCCGTGTGTTTTTAAAATGTCATCCTTGGCTATTCTGAGTATGCCTTCCTGCCCAAATTGCTGTCCCCTAGCAATATGAGTGGAGAATAGTGCAACAACCAAATATCGTTTCGAGGCGGGAAGCAAAGCTCCCAGTGGGTGGGTTATGTTTATAACTGCAGGGTGTTTTTTAAACCATAATGGAAACAATTTAGATGGGAGGAAATGAGCAACTGCAGGTGAATCTCAATGGCCAACTTGGAAACAGGAATATACATAAATATTTATGCAAATAAATCCTCAATAAACGGATGGATTGATTTGCCCTGGATGGCAGCCATTGTTCTGTACACTATTTACTTATATGTGAAAGCACAACCCTTAAGTTCTTGAGTTTAATAGTGCATTGAAACAGTTTCTAGGTTATGGAGGCGTATCTATTAAGAAGTCAACTTAAATGTAAATATGCACAAGGCTGAAAGACTTCCTAACATACGTTCTGCTTTCTAATATGTATTGGAAATTACATAATGATGTGTAAGGTAGTTAGACAAAAATGTTTCAATTAGATTAAGTGCAAAGAGGAGAGGTACGTTTTTAATAACAGAACACATCCAAACGCAAAGAAAATATACAAGAAAACATGTCTTGTCACAGAGGGACTGTTTCAGTGTGTTCAGTTGTGAATGATCATCATATTCAAATAAGATGTCAGAGTTTGACAAGTGGTCTATTCATGTTTACATGTACTATTCAAACATGGCCTTGTACCAAGAACTGAATGGTAGTTTTGTGTTTGTTGTGTCAAGAGATTGCAAGAAGAGCGGTTTGAATTCAGGAGGCTGTTGTATAAAGCTCCTGTTGTGGGTCCCTGACTGAAAAGGCTGAAGACTCTTGGATTTATTACCATATTATTATTTCACATCCAGTTTCTTTTTTTTTTCCTGTGAATCTATTATGAAGACGAAAAACACATAGTTTGACCACAAGTCAAACTATGACAAGTTAACCGATGACTCGTAGGTGCAGCTTTCTACTAGAAGTGCATCGGTGAAGTGCAGGGCAACATTATACAGTGATCCCTAAAATAAGATCTTGATCCACCACAAGATGCCTACCAGATTTCTTGAAGAACATAGTGGTGTTTTGCTGAAGCTTTATATCTTTTTTTTCTGATTTTACGCTTAACAACTGCACCACAAACCCTTAAAAAGACACACAAGAAAAACATGACCTAAGCCACATCAAATGCATTGTCAAAGGCCAGAAACTTTAGGCCATCCGCGGTAAAATCAACCAATCACAAGCAGGTGTATTTATTTTCTTTCCCCCCTCAAAGATACAAGGTTTCAGCACAAGGCCATAATGACTTAACTTAAAGATTTATGGATGGGTTCAACTTCAGGTCATTTATACTCTCAATGAGTCTCAACATATGACTCAGGTGAATTCGCCCATTAATCTTCAGTACCAGTCTTCATATCTATGCTCAAGTTTATCATCATGGCAAGCAAATCTGTACCATTGAGGAGACGAGGCATAGAGGGAATGGGAAGAGAGGGGCAAGAGGAAGGGGAGGAGGAATGGATGTTAATGGGAAAAAAAATGAAGGGATCAATGAGGTGAAGAAAATGGGGGAAGGGAGGTTAAGAAGAGGAAGGTTTGCACAGCGCCTCAGTGACAGCAACAAGCTAGTGAGAACAGATTTGGTTCAGGGTCCCTGGTTCACCTTTGTCCACTGCCTCTCATCGAAGGCAATCTCACATTCCCAGAAGTCAGGAAATGTTCTACTGGAGTTACAGAGCAGGATCGGATCCCTGGAGAAAGTTTCAGTCCAGTGTTCAGGGGGAACTCCTGAGCCTATAGCGGAGGATTCAACTCCAAGAAATCCGTGAAGGTTCCAACTCCAAAACTCATTATTTTCCTTAACCTATACTGGAGGTTGTGGAAACAAGTCCCGTGTATAGCCAGGGTTCTCTGGGCAGAACAAAGGAGAAACGCTTCAGAACTCTGGGAGCGTGTTTGTGTGTTGGTTAGTCTGCTGGTGGGACTGGGTGTACTGAACAAACTGGTTAGACTGGTGCGTAGTGGGCTGACTGGATGCAGTCTGGTTTGCTTGCTGGTTTTCTGATTGGTACTGTTCTAGCTCTCGCTTCCTCCTCATGGCTGACTGCAACTGCTGCTTGATTACGAGGATTTTTCCCTCCAGTTCTGACAGCTCCTGAACCATCGGGTTCCGGCCCACACCCAGGCCGGGGCCGCAGTCGCCCACCCCTAAGCGCGCGAGGCCCTGCCCGAAGCCCCCCTGCCCTGGCCCCAGTACTTGGCCCAACCCCCGTCCTAACAGGTCAGAACGACCGTTAGAGTTCGTCACTATGGGCGGGTGTTTCTCCAATAGGGGAAGAGAGTGGGGACAAGGCAGGGAAGATGGGGATGGCGGTGAAGGAAGCTCCTGGGAGGATTGGTGCTCCAGGTCATTCTGCATCTCTTGTGGAAGGACCCTACGCCTGTTGCAGTGAGAGGACTCTGCAGGATTCCAAGATGCTGACTGGTTGTTTCCCTCATTGCACCTGGAGATAAGACAGATAGATTGAGAAATATCAGGTGGCAATTAGGTTTGTTTTTTTACCAAAGAATGTAAATGTGGTAGAATGTGTATCATCTGATCACATCTTTCCAGGCTGAATTCTAAAGCCAGTGGCTCAGATTGCATCACTCTCCCCAATACACGCAGATGATGCTTACACTTAATTGCGGCATCAAATACAGTATCATTCTATGCATGTTGTATGACAATTTGTAATATAGGAAGAACCAAATCTTGATAAAGAATATAAAGGGAAGACAGATTTCCCTAAACTGCTGTATGGCTGTTCCAGACATTATTGTGTAAGAGGCTCACGTCGAGATTCTTGGAGGAATACAACCATTGTGGATGCTTGCCAAGAGCGCAGTACAAGTGTTCCCCCAAAATGTCCCATTACGGTAAGAGGGAAAATAATGAATTCCTTTTTATTATGCCTCATACTTTATATGTCTCAGGATTTTTTTTTAGGACTGTCAATCGTTTTTCAAATGCTTTCAAACGGAAGATCTTTGAAATCTCCATTTGAGAAAATATCTTGGAAGCTGTATCAAATTGTTTACAGGATATTCAACTGTTTTTTTAAAAATTAAAATACATTTGCTCTTCCAAAATTATGAAGGTGATAAAGTATGACCATGAATATTTCATGAGTTTACAGTTACCAGTAATTTCAATTCCTCGTCGGCATTAAGGAGTTACATGTTTGGTCCGTGGTGGTTTGCCGGTATCATACGTTGACGTCTAGCTTCTCTACAGAATATTTTGTTGTGCACCCCTCGGTGTTTCGGAAAATACTGCAACGAACAAGGCCTTGAGCATTAACGCCTTTGTTCACACCCGTACCTCACGTGCCATCTGTGTTGGCCTGCGCCACAGTGTCTCGTGTGGGTGTAAACAAGGCTTTAGTCCTTTCTGATTAACGTAGTCTGAACAGGTGGGCCAGTTGATTGTCCCCAACATGTTCTCACTCCTAACATGTCAAATACGAACGCTTTGTCAGTGGCCCTAAGCTTCAAACTACTATTTTTAAGTTTGAAAAGTACCTCTAATAAACATTGTGCAGTTGTTGTTGTGATGCAAATAAGCATAATAAATACCAGTGAATCGCCTCCCACAACATTCAGGTACTCAAGACAAAAAAATAAATACATTGACTGTCGAGGCTCACTGGTAAAAATTCACGTCCAATTAATTTCCTCCGCACTGACCCGGCCAACCTCTCCCACACAGCCTGCAGGCCCACCTCCTCTTCAAGCTAATGAGCTCCAGCACCAGTATCATGGGTTGGAGGCGTGAGGCGTCAGTTTGACGCAACATCACTTATGTCGTGTTCCATTCAGGCTTCAACACATGTCACAAATGACAAATCCTTTAAACTTAAAAATGAAAAGAGAAAATTCGATCTCAAAGCTATTCCACCGGGGCTTCAAAGTTACACAAGCTTAAGAAACAGCCAGCCATGGTTGTCCTTGGTTACATATCAATTCCTTTGATTGCACTGGCCGTGAAAAACACCTGCAACATAAAGTCTGGACTTGACAGGAAGGCAGAAAGAAAGTGGCATCTGCAGTATGTGATTGGATATTGCACAAGGCTGGAGTCATGTTGGGTTCAGAGAAAATATCAGTTTGTGTTCTTGCTTTTCTGCTTCACCAAAAAATGAAAATGTTTTGTAGGAAAACCAAACTTCTGTCCAGATTATTGATTCCAAATTTGTAGTTATTATGGCAATATGTATGTTTTGGTTAACGCATGATCCTCTTTCCGGTATTTATTTTTTATTAAAATAATATTACACGATTTTGTGGTGAGTCAGTGGTGAGTTAATTGCTATACATTAGATGTCATAAGTCACATCGTGACTTCTTATTCAAACAAATAAAACAAGAAAAGTTGCATTTTAAGACAAAATTGTAATCATACAAATGGTAAAGTAGTAATTCTAGCAGTATTCTTATGGTAGATTTAATCCACAATATAAAGAAACTTTTTATGAAGATAAAATGTAAGCATCACTCTTTGCTTTCTATCACTGAAAATGAGAACACACGTCAGTAAATGTAAAATACTAATTCAGTGTAATATATACTGTACTCCCTGTCAAAAAGAAACTCTTCACATCTTTTGGACCAGATCTGCAAGCAGAGAAGAAACCATGATTTAATTTAAGGAGCAGAGAAGAGAGATTCACCTCATATGAATTGAAGCCTAACTGAAGAACTCCCTGAATCAAAGGTGTTTTCATGGGTAGTAAAAAAGAAGTGACAAGAAGAATATAATGAGATACTCCAGACTTAAGCTGAAGGATGAGAATATAAGAATATAAGAAAGAATCTTATCTCAAAGTGATGTGTGCACCTTTTGACAAGAAGGCACCATGTGCTTACATCATGGCTGCAATAGGAGAGATAATATGTAGCAATGTGGTTAACATTATCAGGTCTATTTAGCCGTAAGTCTTAAGACAATCACAGCCGCCTGAAGACCTCAGACATGTCCCTGGTTATGCTTCTTTAATAAATCTTGACCTTTTTACTTGTTTATTTTGCTTTGCATTCATTGTTTTTGTCGTGTTCCTTTTTATTCATTCATTTTGAAAGCACTTTGTGGCTATACTCTGAAAAGTGCAACACAAATAAAGAGGATTCTTATTATTAGTAGAACCTCTTGTCGTAACCAAAAAGCCCTATTCCTGATTGTTTATCTTCCATCCAGCCTTTTACTTGATTTGCTTAACATGTCGATGTCCATGTGTCACTTCTATATGAAAGAGGAGATCTTTTAACTTCCATGATATGAATAAATACCGTGAGACTGAGCCCACATCGTTTCATCAGAAAATATTCAAAAGAAAGAGGTTAGAGACTCCAACAAGAAATGATGATCTCAAGGTCCTAAAGGGAACTGCGCACCACACAGTGCTGGCAACGTGTGTTTAGCAGATGAAAAGGAGGCTAAAATACAAATTATTATTTCATTCTGCAACATTAGGATGTCCTTCACATCATCATTATTTTCTTAGGTGGTTAATTAAAGAAGAAATACACATACGAAGTATAAATTCCTCACTGCGGCATCAGAGGGTGTCTTTATTTCTAACTATAGCAAATGGAGCTCTTTGTTTGACATGCTGTAGAAACAACGAGGAGGCCAGGAGCATGTACACACAACTGAAAGTCAGACAATTGTTCTTCATCATTTACAGAGAGACCCTTCAGTTTTCTCAACTGCTGGGGCTGAGGTTACTCCTGCTCCTTTTCTTCAGAGAGGCCACGTCCCTCCTCCTCCACACTATTTAAAGTTCTCAGATTCCTCCAAATAATTTCAAGAGATATCTGGTCGCTCCTACTCATTAAAATGTGTCCAGTATTTCCTTTTACTTTTTGATTTTCTCCTTGAGCAGTGGTTTTTACGAATGTCCTGGCAACCTACTGTTCAGACCCAGAGTTGTTAGACACGCGTGCCAGATACAGAATCCTAGGCTAACAACTTCCAGATACTTTTCTGTCTCCTGTCAACCAGTGCAGCTTATGAAGAGGACAGCTCGCGTGTTTCCCTGCAGCAGTTCTTTACGCTGTGGAATTAGAACGCAATATTTCACCACTGATCGGTATTTCCCAGAACATCTGTCAGTACAGATACCTGTCAGCTTGTAGCACAGTGAACGGGGGGGAGGCTGTCCTTCAACGAGCAGGACACAGGTGCACCAGAAAGACATGCGCCGTGCTGAAGTGTCCTTGAGCAAAATATATTGAATTCCCCACCAGCAGGTCTGTACAGCTTCCCCACCCTTGTGGAGGGTAAAAAACGTTAATGCTGAATTTGGTCTTCTTGCGGTAGACGGTAGCTCTTATATGTTGAGATTGCAAATTTTTTCAAATTGGGGTGATGGTGTGCTATAGAAGCATTACACAGCAAGACTGATACGAAGAAGCCCAATTCTTGCCCAATTATTATCGGCACTGCAAAGTTGCTCTGGTGGCCTGAAAATGTTTACTAAACTTGAATGTAAGCAATGCTAACTTAGATAGTACGTTTACATACCTGTAAGCAGTGGAAGCAATGGTCCTATCCCACGTAACTTCTCTATCAAAAAGAGTATAGCAGCTGAATTGTAACTGAACTTAGAAGTGACAAATGATCTTGTATTAGTGTCGGTTACAGATCTTTTCCATAGAGCTACATGACCTTTACACCGCGTTTGATACTAAATCACAAGATCTTAATTGGACATCGGAGAGTGTTTCGAAACACCCCTCCTCATGCTCACAGACACTTCTCTGACGCCTTTGGGCTTTTCTACATCCTTGTTAGCGCAGAAATGAAATACGTTACGATTCCATCCCAAGTAGTCGTTTTAAAAGCCAATTTCATTTTCACCCATATGCTCCATTCGGTCACACAATGCCTCCTTCCTATTATGCTGATGAAACAGGTGTATATGCAGCACGTATATTTTAATGTAACCGACCCACAGCTGCAGCCATTTACGGCACATAATCTCATACAACTTGAATGGGAAAATCATCTGTATAGTGCTTGCAAAACAGACATTTCTGACACACCATGTTTCTGCAGGACACTGACAAAATGAGGGTAATAATTTCGGACTTTTAGACAGCGTGCAGGCGCGCTGCAGAATAACTTGATTGAATGAGGCTGATTATGCAGCAGGTAATCTATCCTCATTACCACAGGCATCCCTCACATGGCCTTGGCTCCATAATTATTGTGTGTATTTAATCCCCACTTCGAGTGCTCCACCTGAGTGTGCCGTCGGTGCGTGCTGCTAAGTAGGGATAGGTGTGAAGTAGAGTACGGCAGAATCAGACAGAGAAAGATGAAATGGAACTATTTTGCTCAGCAAAAGCTTGAGGGTCGTTTTTGATCCCCCCTCAGAGGCACAGAAAATAGTTATACCTTTCTCACTTTGCTTGCCTTAAGTAAGCTCCCAAGTGACATGGCAATGTGAGCAAATGTGAATAAAAAGGGACTATGACACACGCACTGCAGTGGTGCCGAAATGGCTGTCCAGATCAGTCAAATAAACCCACATCACACCCAAATTGCAACAATACAACATTTGAAAAGACATTGAAACTGACCAAAAAGAAGCTTTCACGATGTGCTGAATCTCCCTCTCTCACCCACTGAGCCAAACAATACTCTGTGACATCAGCATGAGCTTATTTCCTCAATTTCGCTTTCTGATAATTAGCTTCCAACAGACGAACCATTCATTTGGTTTCTGATTAAAAATGGGTCATTAAAACTGCCACTCGGGTGTTAATTGATGTCAATTATTCTCAGCCTCATTATTTGGCCAATGGGCTGCTGAAGTTTGAAAAATTGGCTTTGTGCTTAAAAAGGTTACAACATGTGGGCTACTATATGTGATATATTTTAGTGACAGCCCGGAATCCAGAATGACACCTTTCTTTGTTTGTGTGCCTGTAATGTATGTTATGTAAGTGGGGGGGGGATACATTGCATTTGGTATATTTTGTAGAGGGTGCAGTGGTTTGAGACCACTCTATAAGGAGGAAAAATGCACCTGTTTTTATTGACATGCAGACAGAAGGCGAAAGGATCAAACCTTGTGATTGACGGATGACCCGCTCGCCTCACTCAACCTGTTTCTGATGTGTCTTTGCATCCTCAGTCAAAACAAAATGTACTGAATGGGTCATAAATAATTACAACACAACTGGGCTCAGTTCATATTCAGTTCAATCGCTTGGTAATGGGTTTTCCCCGCTAAATAAAAATCATTATCATTTACAATATATTTCAGTGACGGATTCATTCGATTGAACTGAAGTTGTATTGAGCCCAGCCTTCAATGATGGGGACAGTACCTCTTCTCAGGCTTGGTAACCGTCGGCAGTTTGTCATCAGTGAAGACTGAGTTGAGGGCCCGGTGTAATCTCTGGAAAACAAGCAACACATTAGCTGTCACATACTTACTCACTTACTGGAATTTCACCTGTTTCTCTGCGATGATTCTGTTGTTTATTGGGAACATAAAATGCTTTGTGTGTTTTTTATGTGTGCGAGAAAAATAAGAAGACAATATATCACCTCCAAATACATATGAACCGACTAGTAAGCACACTTTGCTAGTAAAAGAAGCACAAGAAACACATTTTTTACATTCTGTTATGGCTATTCACTCACTCACTTAAATAATCAGAATAATTCTTCTTCTGGTGATTGTAATGTGGTTCCTTTCCAGCTCATGATCGAAAGGTTGCTTCGCTGTGTTGTACATGTGTGTATCTGTGTGTGAGGTCAGTACCTGACTTGTGTGCAGCCAGTATTTGAAGCGTGGCTCCTTGACCCTCGGGATCACCAGCTTGTACACGATGAGTTCCGCTACTGTGGTCAGGAGGGATAAGGCCACACCCACACAGAGCATCACAAACAGGCCGGAGAAATGCTTTATGCCCATCTGCAGCGTCTGGAGAGACACAGGGTTAGTGAGCGAGAGAGCTGGGCAGCGGGAAGAAAGTGGACGAGTGGAAAGAAGGTAGAAGGAGACTCAGAGAGAAAGAGATCAGGGATGCAAAGCTATTACTTCTGATGGAGTAGTGGTTGTCTGAAAAATTCGGTCCAGGAAGTACAATTATACAAAGTCCCTCGGGTTGTGCCTTTGATGGTAAAACAACCAGATAACAACAGAACTTAAAGGTACAAGATACAGGATTGGGAGCTTTTCGATTGGCTCTCAATGGCTCTCCATGGCTCTCAACATGGCGACGGCGAGCCAGCGGCTCACAACTAACGGTGCTGACAGCGCTAACAGTGCAAACAATGGCAAAAGTGTTGACAGAGCTAACAGTGTTTAGACGAGGGGCTAGCGGAGGGTGGGCGCTACGTTTCTGCAGCGATTATCAGCATTATTACATTATGAGCGTAGTGCAGAGCGGTGACCGTGAACTAGCCAGTGACACGCTCACATGAACGAACATGTGCCCGAAGCACATGCGGCCGGCCTGGCTATGTCAACAAGGCAAAGAGATGTTCGGATTACAAGAGGGAGCGTGACTTCTTTCTTTGCTCAGGTAGACATTAGTCCACTGTGTACAAAGCAAATAGTTGTTTCATGCTTTGGATATCGAATTTAGCTTTAAACATTTATGGAGTGTTTCAGACAGAGGGTGAATGCAGGTATATTCAGACAGTGTGAGAAAATTTATGTAATTTTGAAACATTAAAGGATGTAAACATGTTCAAGTAGAAACCTAAAATAAAAATGGATTCACCATGGTAATGACGCTGACTTGTAATTGTCATTAAGTGAACATCATTTTTATATTTTTCTAATGTTATGTTGCTATTTGCCAGCTACCACCTTTTTACTTGTTTTCTGTGTTTTCTGTTTGTATTTTTGTTTGTACAAGAAAATGTATTGAGAAAATGACTAAAACTGCATGTCTATGTGTGAGCAACGTGGCACTAGCTTCTGGTTTGTGTACACACAAGTATTTCTCCAGCTAACACTTTAATGATAGCATTAGTGTAATTTAAATTTTCTTTGCCGTTATTTCACATGAAATGTGTGAACCTGTTGACGTATTCACCACAGTCAGAAGTATATCTATCCTATACCGTCTCTATTACAGCACGTTTGGCCGACCTCCCAGGAGTCATTGGCTCACATTATTTTCAAATTTAATAAAAACAGCTTGCATAGACAAAACACTGCATTGCCAGATGTAATGCATCATGTTATTTTTTTTCCCATAACTTGACTTTAAAACATTGCAATCACTGCAACGTTTTCTCCCCAAAAAATGAGTGAGAGGAGAATATTGCTCAGGTTTGCTTTCAACTCTGTTTTCCATCCTATCAGAAGTAAACAACTCCATGAGGTAGTGGAAAAAGTGATAACTGAACAAGCAACAGCATTTCAAAGTCACTAAAGTGAAAATTGCAATGCCGTGAACTGAATTCAGCTTTGCCCTTTTAAGAAAAATGGACATCTGGAATAAGATAATACCTCCCCAATCACTGATAGATTTGTCCTGATTTTTCTGAAATCCTGCTTTAGATATGCTGGGATATCACACGTACCCCCCCCCCCCACCATCATCTTAATTGGCACTCATTCTATTCTGAACGCGTCACTATAGAGAAGCCTCTCAGAAATGCATCCTGAATCTGCAAGTGTGGCATCTCCTATTGGGATATCACACTTTTCTTAATTAAGTGCGTGTAACTGCAACACGTTGTCCGGTGAATCTTTTTACTGCTGAGTATGGAGCAGCTTGTGATGCAGCAGCGGCTGCAATGATTGCATTATAAAGTCACGGCGGTAAGAGAAAAAATAATATGTATGATGGATTAAATTCGTCATTGCAACATTGTGAATTGGCGAGCTGGCTGTATTGTCAATTGGGAGTGGAAGCTAATGATTCCTGGGAAGTCAGGCAGTGCAGACAGTAGTCAGTGTCACATCTTAGTGCTGGAGAAGACATCTCCAACTTAGGAGAAAAGACAGCAAGACAAGCTTACTGAGGATAAACGAGATTAATCTAATACTTAGCTCCAGTGTGTAAAAAGCACTGTAAGTTATTGTTCATCAACCCGCTCCAACATTCCTCACAGTTATGGGCTTCCTTGGATCAGCACATTTAAGCACATTCAGCACATTTAAGCACATTCTTCCAAGTTTTGGCCGCAAACACACTTCCTGTCTCTTTTCACTCTACGCAACCATATAGAACAATTATTTTTATTATAATTCCCAACTCCACTTATAAATTGCATGGGTCAGTTGCATAAATTTGCTGCAAAAAAAAATCAATGAAAAGCTTCAATAAAACACATAATGCTCACAATCTTCCTCCCTTTTGATCACAATTTATTTCCAGGTAATGTTAAGTTTGGCCGTCTTAATGTTATATGTCAAATATTATGTCATTTATTGGTATTGATTTTATTACTTCAAATGGGATCAAATTCTTTGGGGTGACAGGGAGCTGGACGGATGCCAGAGAGTTTGGCTGCCTTTGCTAAAGCCAATCCATCAGATGTTTCATCTCTTCAGAATCCCAGGCTTGCTGCTTGTGGTGTAGTAGCCATTCATCGGAATAATAGATTGAAAAAAAGAAAATAAATGCTGAGCAGGACTAAACTGTGCCAGCCTTGTCAATAATTCATATTGTGTATATCACATGAATTTCCCTCTGATGTTGTCCAGTGTTCATTTTGACAGCACACTGTAACTTTAATGTAATTATACATATTCTACGTAACTTATTTAACAGCAGTATCTATAATATGAGAACCAGAAGGTGTGCAGAAATACTGGTCAAGCAGCTTTCTCTGCTGTCGGCGTAGGCAGGTGGAGGCATGATGCTGCAAAATGAGATGTACCCGGAGCAATTTAAATGTCTGCAGTTGCAGATAGCATCTGTAACACGTCTAGCTGTTACGCAGTAGGAAATGTTTCACTTCAGAGACACTGAATCTGTTGCACTGCAGTGTGCTGCTTCTACTACTCATATGAGACTCAGAAGATGGGCATTTACAATGATGTATTTGGTGTGTTTTGGTAATGCTGTCGCATTACCAAATGCCACACCCCAAGTGCTGCTTTATCAGACTTCATAAAGGGCGTTTTATGCCTTTGCATGCAAGTAAAAATAAATGAAACACAAGAGGAAGATGGGGGCAGATGAGTTATGGGGGCATAGCTCAGTTAGCAGATGCGGGTCAGGGGGCCGGGCTCTGAATTAGTAAGGAGCCATTACTGTACATGGAGGTTGTACAGGCAGTGCAAGGAAAGTATTCTGACAGCCAGGAAAATCATGAAATCAAGAGAAAAGTTCTGGGTAAGGGTAGAAAAAAGTGACAAGAAAGCTACTTCTATACAAATAAATTGTGGAAATAAATTGTGATCAATTGAATGAATTCTGACTAACCAGAGAGATAAAGAGAGAGTTTCTTTTATTTTATGTTTCATGATAAAGAAAATAGGTCCCTTCTCTACAGAGTGTAAATAGTTACATTATTGTGTTACTCTTGGGGCAGCGGTACAAGCTGAAAACACAAAAGTGATGTGTTATCTCCTGATAAAGTTTTTGTGGCAAACACGTAAGCAAACAGTTTCCCAAGAGCTGGCCTTACGTAATCCACAACAAAATATGTTTTCCCATTAAAAATAGTCATTCGATTGAATGTTCACATAAGAATATTGACTAGTGCAGCTTTAGTTTTTTTTGGTCTTTGTTATAATTAGCAGAAAGTTAAAGCCATTATACCAACCGAAACACCCGACAATATCCACGTGCGGAGATAGAAAGATACATTACGGCAAACATTCAACATGTACTTAAATGTCACCATACAAAAACAATACATTTGCTGCTGTTGTGTACAAAAGGCGGTTCTGTTCCTACCTGAGTCACAGCAAAGCTGCGCTTCCCGCAGGGCACAACCTTGTACCATTTGTCATGGAGCATGTCCATGAAGCCATCCGACTTGTACTGACTGACAAGCTCTGAGATGTTGGAGGTGAGTGGAGAGTCCTGAGGGAGGCCAATGCCATAGCCTGCCAATGGACACACACACACACACACACACACGATACAATTATTCCTCTTTCGCAGCAGCAAAATTATTTGAGCTTCAACTCCATGCACTAAGATATTCTTTCACAGAGTAAGAAAAATAACAACTGAGCAGAAGAGTCTTGGCATCTTTTTTTTTTTTTTTTTTTTTTTTAACCAGCGCTTATCAGAAAGCACCATCATCACTCTAAAACAAAGCAGGTACTTAACGTTGTGAGTAAATCTCTGAATTCCTCAGCTTGCCAGGAAAGTGTGACAAATACAGCAGCAGCCAATTACAGAAGTACCTCGCCTTGGTAGGAAGTACACTGATTGATTTGTATCGTATCCTGGAGGCTTAAGGGTGCATTAAGTAATTAACAACAACACTGGAATCTGGGACTATGGTGGCCTGTAATGGAAGCAAGCACCATGGGAACATCTTCACAGTGAGAGGAAGGAGCTTGCTAAGTGGACCAGAGATTAAAAGCAGACAGTAGAGGATCTAAGCTGTTGAAAGCAAGATGATTAACTGCTGTGCAAAGGTTGAGTGATTGATATTGTTGAATTCTGTTGAATAAAATGCTCATGGGCAGTTTGTCTGCTGTCATTCAGGACAACCTCTTAAAATGTAGTGACAAACAAAAACCAAAACAGATCTGTGGATACTGATGACTTAATCAGGCAACTGTTTTCCAGTAATGACAAATTACCAATTTAATCTGAAAATCTTCTTTATCAATCTCTACCATTTACCATTTACCATTATCAAAAAGATGGGAAAGCGCCACATATTCATAAAGTGCTGTTTTGTGTATTACAGGCTCGGAGAGTAACATACTACATGGGACGACGTTACGTAATTAGGATACGAGAAGAAAAGACAGTTTTCCGTTTCAGTTACAGAAACAAAGACATCGTTCAATTAAAGACAGTAAAAATGGGGAGTTTACGTTTTTCAATTTGAAAATTAAAATTAGGAATAATAGGCCTAACCTACCACACATATGGGCACACTTCACGTCACAATAGCCTCTAAAGTTAGTGAAAATGTAAGCAATCAAGTTACTTTACTTTAATATTGTGTTCCTTGGATTAAGTTACAGACTACATTTTTAACAGGTAATTAGTATTTGTAAATACATAAAACAAAAACAAACTGCCTTGGCCCTGACTAAGTGAGTGATTTGTCTTATGATGAGAAGCCATGTGTTACCTTCTATAGCGAAGGGTTTCCCCACTGTTAGAGTTTTACAGTCTGCGTCTATGGAGACCTCGTAGTCCAGCAGAGCTTTGTCCATGATGAATGCATCCAGTCTCTGAGGGTCATTCCTGTAAACACACAGCAAGTAGCTTAATTGGAAGTGCAATGCAAGTGCAGATGTAGCAAATATATGTCAGGCTATTTGTGTGTTTTGTGCAGTGACGGGTTCTTGACTAAGATAGTGAGAGCTCAGCTTTAATACTGAGACACTACAGGTCCAAAACATTTTCGTGAACTGGCCCATTTTGAGATTTTGGACTATTTTCCCCCAAAAAATGTAATCGACAAAGAAAGATGTCTTCATTCAGACAACAACAAACATCCAAAGTAAACATGTATGTGTTTATTTTACTATTCTGTCCATTTGCGTCTGTAGATTTCACCAAAATTCACAAAAAGTTGGCATTAATACCTTATTTGCATATTTAGGCATACCATTTCAGAAAACTCGCAATACAACGAATATTTGCCTTAATGTCAGTAATCAACTGGGGAAGTTTCATGGTTCTATCTATTACTTCAAATTGTTACCCAATTCAACTATTCAGCATTCATCAGTCGCAACATGTTGTGCCAATTAAACATTTCGTTGCACACTAGCAAGCACTCAGTCATTCAACAAAAGATAAGAGTGTTGACCTGAATTTTGCCCTTAAGTTTTTTGACGATCTGATCAGTGGCATTTGAAATGTTTTTGACGGATCGCCGGACAGACAAACAGATAGATGCACTTGGACTGATCCGTAGTCAGTCAGAAATGAATTGTGGTGACAGATGTAACCATAGCGCTAAAACAGATCTTACATCTTCTGGGATTGACATTTTAAAGCAACCCTCTGGAAAATTAACCTTTTAAAAACCTCCTGAGCCGCAAACTTAAATGAACCTTTGTCATCTCACTCCGGCTCTGATACTCTTGAGACTCATTTTCTCTGTTTTTGTCCTCATGTCACACCTGTGACCTCACAGCATGAGTGTCTGTTTCACTTATTTTAACAGTGTTAAGTTGAATAAATAGAGACACAAGTGGGGATGTTTTTTTTGTGCCCAATGAAAAATAGGTGAAAAGAATAAAACACAAAAAAAGAGATTTTATAGAGCCTTTCAGAGGGCAGAGTAACACAATCACTGAACATGGGATGTCAATGATTGAACAAATTCCCTCAACCTTTTGCCAGTGGTTTTTCAACCCTCTTACGGGCCCTATTCCAGTAAAATAACTGCCTGTCCGCCAATTTACTCAGATTCCTCGCTCCAAGTCTCTTATACACAGTTGAGATATTCATTCGCAAAGACAAGGCTTTTACGAATCAATTCTTTGCTGACAGGTACAGCCTACTGGGATCCAAATGCTGCAAAGCCTTTTTTTTCTAGATATTCTTTTTGTTTTACGCTTGTTATCCGGGACAGTGTTTGAAATCCTCAACTATCTTCTACCCACAAGCTAGCTGCTCATTATTACAGGTGGAATCAGGTTGCAGCTTATGTCCTTTGTATTTCAACCATAGTACTGCATGATGTGTATTTTATGATTAGAGCACAACCTAGACATCCAGCAATTACCTAGCCAGTGTGATTAAAACATGATGACTCCCTGGATCATCGTCCTGCAGTAACGCTTGAGGAGTATGTATTTGCATGTGGATGGTAGAAACCTGCACTTGTGACAGGGCACATTTCTGCGGTGTGGCTTCACTTAACACAAAATGATGTGCGGCACAGCAGTTCCATTCATTTTGGATCTCTGAGGTAGATCAGGCAACAGCTTTCACATCACATCGTAAGACAAAATAGCACAAGGCAGTTGTCTGGGGCTGATAATGCTCCAGTAAGTGCGCTTTCTCAGAATGCTCTAATTATGTAGCAGACGGGCTGCAGTTGTTGCTTGTTTCAATTTCAGTTGTCAGACATGTTCATCAAGCTGAAAGACCATTGGTGCACAGTGTGCAGGGAAGAGATAACTGCAAATAGACCTCTAAAGTTCACTACATTTCCCCCAAGCAATGTTGTTTTAGTCATCAGGGTGTGTGGATTGTTGTGTCTACTTGTCACAGGGGTGAGGGAAGTGATGAGGGAAAGTGGAAACAGGTGGGAGAGTAGGATGGGAAGCTAACTGCAGGGCTGATGAGGGAGAGTGGGAACAGGTGTGTCGATGGGCGGGACAGGTGATGAGGAAAGGAGGGAGGGCAAGTCCAAGGGCATCTGGTGGATGGCTTGGAAAATGGCAATGAAAGGACGGAGACACTAATATAATAATATTAACATCCAGTTTTGACCAATTCATGAATGTTGACTTTAATCTCCTCATGGGGCTCGGTCTGTCAATGCAGTATACAGAAGTTGCATTGCACTATGACGTGACATGGCATACTATATGATTATATCAATGCTAACTAATGCCTGGTGGATTCAGAAGTGAACCCTAAGCTCAGGGTATTCAAAGTTACATTGCGGCACACTCGTTTGCTGTCTTGTTCTCCAGTCATAATTTTCTAAAGATGACATTTTCCCTTGAACCCTCTAATCAGCATTTTACAAGCTCAGTAAGGAAAAAAAAAGGAAAAGTCTTGTTTCATCCATTGAAATTGTGTCCTGCACAGCCTGGGCCTAGTATTCAGCTGCCTCTTCTCACTATATTCTGCTTTGCTCCACGGGGATGCCAGTTGAATGTCGAAGCAGCTTATGATGACAGCAATGGCAGGGTAAGGAGGAGGGTGAGATCTGAATGCCAACAGGAGGGCTTTTTCTCTCTTCAAATTTTGACTTTCTTAAGACACGCAACTCCCATTCCTTTTCCTTATTTTCAAAGAAGTTGTTTTTTTTCCCACATGTGTGTAAGTTGATTTCCAAGGAATGATGACAGCAAGATATAACTGGTTATATAGTTACTGAATACCAGAGGACATGGTGACAGTGACGACTATGCCATGAATGCAGAGTGTGTGTGTGTGTCTGCACGACATGCGTATGTGGACTGTGCCGGACTCATGGCATTGTCTTACTTGAGCTGATGTATGCCATCTGGGGTTGCCGGGACGTTGTATCGCCTCATGTACTCGTGCATCTCAGGGAAACTCTTCTTGAGGTAGTCCTCTGCGCTGCTTTCTCTCACTGTGGCAAATCGGAACCCCTGAGAGGGATGGTGTAACTGCAAGAAAGATACAATAAACCCAGATCTTACCCTTAGAATGTCTTCACAAAGCATTCATTTTGAATAATATTGATATTTTTCACTTTAGTCTGCTGCTTCTCTTTTCTTCAGTTGGCATTTTTTTTATTCTCATTAGCAGAAGGAGAGCTTGTTAAACTGGTGATTTGTTTCTTTTCTGATTCACTCTTGTTATTCAGAGATTTGGTGCATTGGCCAAAACATCAATTACCATATGCTGATTGCTCTAACAAAGTGGTTTAATTAAATAATCTATTTGCTGACTTAAAGTTTAAAGACTGCACTCTTCACAAGAAGTTGCTACCTACTACTCCAGTCTGCAGTATTATCAAGTGTACATCGGGGACATTTTTAAAGAGAAGGTCCACAACAGCCTGAAACTACATTCCCCGAGTCTGTAAACTTGGATTTATGAATCTGCAGTTATTTGCAGTGCAGCACATTTCCGACCTTTGGGTCATGTATCCCTGACAGTTGTTCGTAGGTCTTCTCCCCGACCATGACGGCAGCTAGATTAGCAGTGTAGGTGGACAGACAGAACAGACAGAAGATGGCCCAGAGGTTCATCAGCAGGCGGCCCGTCCAGCACTTCGGCGGCTTGATGGCCACCGTTCTCCCGAAGAGAATGGCGTAGCACACGTTGAGCGCTGAGGAGAAGGAGAACACCCGGTCGCGGTTGCGTCCACGGGGCGTCATACCAAACGGGCTGGTCCACTCGTACAGGGTGAGGAAGACAGCGGTGACGTGGAGGGAGACAAAGATGCCGAGCCACATGGACCAGTGGAGAGGCCACATGAAGGCACCGATGGGTGCAGCTGTGTCGCGAGAACGAACCTGGGCAAGGGGGTACACAAGATTAGAATACCTACACCTAAATTATACTATAAAAGTAAGACATTAGTGTTAGATATTGATGTCTTTTTTTAACAATCTTCAAGTAAACTTGCATAGTGTCACCTTTTTCTGATATGACATGACAACCGGGTCTCACTCGCAACTCGGCAAATATCGACGCTTAGTCAGTTCTCCTCGGTGTCTGATACCGACACACCAAGCTCTCAACTAACTCCAATTTAATCGCACCCGTGTCATTATTAGACGCTCAGAGCAACTGACCCAGTATAAAGAGCGAGATAGACCATACAGGTTAGGAGGGGAGGTGGATAGTTCAAACAAACAAAGGACTTTCGTCAAGGAGACAGCTGTGTCCTGTGCAAAACTAAAAGTAAACTTTAACATTCTTTCACTTAAGTAGTTAATTATGTGAGTCGTTAGTCACGCGAGTTGCTAGTCACGTGACTGGTTTGTCACTCATTAGTTACATGAGTTGTTAGTCATTCAATAGTCATTGTCAGTCGTTCAGTCAAGTTAACGTCAACCACGCTTTTCCCAAACCTAAGTAAGTGGTTTTGTTCCCTAAACCTAACTTCCTGTGATGAAGACGACTTTTTACTTTGAAAAGACACTATGTGTGTAATGAGTGGAAACCGATACGCTGTCTGTGGTTTAACTCTAGTGACAGAACTGACGAGAGAGGGCTACCAAGAGCATCATAGTTTGAAGCTTAGGGCCATGGACCAAGCGTGAGTATTTGAATAATCAGGAGTGAAAATGTGTTGTTCATGAGGATTAAGTAAGACTGGAAACGGAATATCTGTCGGGTTAACATGTTCGGTTAATTGCTCATCAGAAATTAAATGGTTAAACACAGGCTTGTCTCAACAATTTGAGCTAGGAACTGAAACAGGTCCTACAAAGATCCACAGTAGCATGATGAAATGGGAAGGAACAAATTTGGAGGGGACATGACAAAAAAGAAAGTCGCAATCCCCTCTCGTCACTTTTTGCTACAAATAAATACTAAATACAGTTCACACAGGAAAGCTACAAATTCAGAGGCCTGCCATTAACTGGATGTCTATTTGTAAAGGTGCTGTCTGATAAACTGTTAAATATTGATAGTAGAAGAGACATCTGCTGTAAAAAAAAATCAAAACATCTCACTGTAGTGGCATCTTTCTGTCAGCATGAGACTAGGTATAGTAATTGTAGTAATGGGGTCACCACACTAAGCTGCACCCTCTCGAGCCCAGCCCTATACGGGGAAGTGCATTACAATCCAATAACCTAGGGCTGGCAGTAATAAAACTCTGCTATATTGATACTGACCACCAGCATACCAAGCGGAGAGGGTTGAGGTAAGGTCATTGACAGAGAGCGGAGAAGCATGGGCCAAAGAAGTGAGATAAGTAAAAAAGTGCAAAGGAAAAAAGAGAAAAATTCTGTATGAAATGAGGAGAAAAAGATGAGTCAAGAAAAGAGAGAGAGCACTACTCACCAGAATTCCCAGGCTGGTGGAGAAGAAGGGCGAGGTGAAGTCAATGACTTGACTTCTGGCCGAATTAATGCTAAAAGATGTCACTGCCAGGTGGGCTGCGCCACTGAGCAGATCCCCCACCAATCCGGTCCAGCGACCATTCTTGAACCCCCCATACTTCCCGTCGCCTACAATATAGAGGTCGAAAGTGAAGCCCATGTCCTCTGCCAGCTTCTCCAGCAGATCTATGCAGTAACCGTAACAACACTTCTTCAGGTCCGTGGAAACAGACCCGTTACGGCCCGCAAGGTTCTGGAAAAATCCTTTCAAAAGCGAAGATTCATTGGTGAGCGGGTCGAGGCACAACTGGCCCGCGGGACACATCCCGTCCCCGTCCACCTCTCGGGTAAATACAAACGGGTTCTCCACCAGCGTCACGACCCGCATGTGCAGCCGTGCCGATCGGCGCCAGTCTCCTCCGGCCCCAAATCCCTGATGGCTTGGCCAAGTTCGCCGGTCCATCAGAACTTTCCCCCTGCGCCAGCGTCCCAGTCGGGTCCAGGTTGGCTGGCCTAGAGGGTCCAGCTGGAGGGACCAGATGTAGTGATGGGCCTCTGAGATGACATTCTGGCTGTGAGTGTCTATGGATATTAAACCGGTCTGGCCCTCAAAAGATGTGTTGGATAGAAATCTGAGGGGAATGGGGTGAGAAAGAAGGAAATAAATGATGGGGGAGATTGGGGGAGGAGAGTGGTGGAAGGAGGACAAGCAGGAAAGAGCAGAGGAGTTAGAGGAAAGATCATTTTTAATATTTTCAAAATTTAAGTTTCCTTCCTTGCAGGTGAGACTGGGTTTAAAGGTTTCAGTCCCATGGACAGAGCACAGGAAAGCCAGTTTATTGCTGTTGCCCACTATGTACTAGTCTTACCCTCTCAATTTAATGTTCTCTAAATGTATAAAAGACATCAAAAACAGAGTAACATTTTATAATTGTCAATTGATTATAGAATAGAGAAGTTGTAGGTCCTCACACGGAAGGAAGTTTGACCATCCTTTCAGCCCTTTGCCACTTATTTTTGGAAAAATTGCATTCGACCAGTGTCAGTGATCCTCAAAAATATCATTCATTTTGATGTAATTAACATTCATAATTAGTATGGTAGTTGTAAACACTACTGAAATGGGGATTCACATTACGCTTCATTGATGCTATCAAAACACCAGATACCTTGCTTTAGGAACTATAACATTCACATTCCCCTTAATTCTAGCTGAGCATATAGGATTTTTTAATTTTATTTACTTAGATGTCAAACTTGACAGTATATGTTTAACCATGGAAACATCTTTCAGTTCCTTGATAATTTACTTATGAGGACTGTGTGATATTGTCAAAAATTCCCCTACTTGATTAAAGCTATTGAAAAATCAAAGATACTTGTTTGGGTTAAAAAAAAATGCTTGGTAAAAGTAAGGGAACAATCGCAGTCATGGGTTTAAGATATTGAAAGGTCGGGTCGTGAGTTTAGAAAACCACAGCGGTCTCCCTTGTCAAAGTCACATACTTTGTTGATTCAATCCACCGCAGCCTGCTCCCCGAGAGGCTTTGCTGTACTGTGACAACATCACGCTACACTACTTCTGACATTTGGGCACATAGAAATATGTCATTGGAGGCATTTAAACAAATGAGCAAAGCAACACTTTTTATGCAAGACAGTTTCATTGAAGAGGAACAAAGATCTACCCAACAGGGATACAATGGTTGACAAAATCTGCAATTTAAGGACCCTCACGGTAAATTGAAGGCCTCTTGGATTGAAACAATTTTGTCTTATATCAGTGTTTAAAGCATATCTTCTTTACACTTGCAGGTCAAGTTAACTGCAAGATGCACAGTTGCTCAATACGTTTTCTGCTGGCTTGCTTTTTTTATTACAATTGCCAGTAAGAAAAACACCTTTTCCAGGAGTTCTGTGGCTGCAGGATTTACAGGCTTAAATGTACGATTATATTTTACCCTTGGTTAGTTTATACAAAAATCCCAATTTAATAGTGTAACACCAGCACTGGAGAGGTGTATTATCTAGGTGGCCTTAGTGGCTGTCCAAAGTGTGTTTGTGTGTGTGTGTGTGTGTGTGTGTGCGTGTGACAGGATAAGGCAGACCACGGTCCAGTGATCACACCATCTCTTTCACTGAGCCATGCTACTGGCTGTCTGAGAGTGTCAGATATCAGAGCAGACAGACACACTCGCACTCACACAGAGAAAAACACACACACTTGTCCACTGGAATGGATATCTTTGGACGTAGGAAAGAATGCGGGCATCCGTTCTGTGCAAGGAGATGCACACCGCTTTGATATGCCTTCAGGTGGTAATGATGTGAAAGACGTGACCTTTACCGAAATTTCTTTTTTGTGTCAACTTGTTCACTGTAAAAAAAAAAGGAAAAAATAAATCCCTTTTCCACCACCTTGTCTACTTTCCTACATCTTTAACTGGTGTTAAGTCGACCTGACAGCTCAACTAGTCCGTCTGAAGGTCAGTTTCTTCACTGCAGCGTGTAGCTGTTAATCTACCTGCAGACTGTGTCTTTTTCCTCTTCATATTTAATGAAAGTGACATGCTCTTGCACATTCCTAACAGTGCAGAGGGTGTTGCGTGTGAAAAGGGCACATATTATGAGAGTCACTTTTGGAAGGTGACGTTACAGATAGTTTCAGACTAATACTAGCAGGGTATGACAGCAGAGTGGAGTCGTATGAAGGGAGCCGAGTTTCACAATGTTTCCCGCTGCAGAAAGCTGCTCCTTGGAAAGTCAAAGATGCTCTCTCTTGCTAATAAATCGCACCATCGTGTATGAGTGTACAAGTGTCTTTCTCTTTATAGGATTTGATGGACCATTTTCTGTCATGCATGAATAGACATCATGCCACTCACATAAGCAGAACTCCAGGGTGCTCATTGCAACCTGGCTTCATCCTAATTGGCTCCACTTGTTAATGAACTATTACTGTTGTATCATCACAATTAATACTTATGTACTTGTACAGGACTTTCATGCAGGAGACCGCTGTTCATGTCCGGTGCAAAACTTAACATTTTGTCACGTCAGTCGTTAGCCACTCAGTAGTCACGTTGGTCGTTAGTCAGTCAGGTAAATATCGATCACACTCAATTTATGAAAGTGGTTTTGTTGCCTATAAACCTAACTTACTGTGAAGACAGACATTTATTTTGAAAAAACACCATGCATGAAAACGTGATATGAAAACAATTTGATGGTCAATTTTTTTTAATGTATGCAAAAGGGAAACTGCAAACGCCCTCTGATTTAGGCCACTTAAATAACTAAATCCTCAATTGGAATTGGGACTTCTTCTGTCACTCTTGACATTGTGGAGAGGCACTGACAGATGTTTGAAGTAGTTAAAGTTAAAAGTAGCCCTTGACTTTCTGAAACTTTGGATGAAACCTGTTTCAGTGAATACATTCACATCACGATCCCACCACAACTGGCTGTGACTGTGCATCATCTCCGTACCAAAATAGCAGCCATTGCTCCACAAAAAGGCTACATTTATCAAAAACTTACACAACCAAACAAAAAACCCCAGATCCGACCAATAAATCAGAATTTAGCACTGAGGTGTGAACTGAGCCGTATAGTCCTCAAGTACCTATGTCGAAAAGATTTAGTCCAGGAAGCTGATGACTCATGCAAGGACAGATGCATGTTGGATACATTTTCAGGCGTCTCTTTTTCAGATTCATATTTATGCAAGACATTGACATCCTTTAAATCCAGACCTGCTACAGCCCCTCCTACGCTCCAATAAAAATGTTAACTTTCTATACAATGCGACATGATTCATTTCCACTCCATGAAATAAAAAATTGGTTGAATTTGAAGCAGAGGAGTCGACGAGTGACGTCTAGGTGAATCACATCTATAACCCAGCGACACTAACTTAATGTCATGCCCGCCTCGTCTTCTTTCCTCGTGAATCACCAAAAAAAATGATTCCGAGTATGAGGCAGGTTACAACCATAGAGTAGTGCTCGTGTTCACATCAGCGGCCATGAAGGAGAGTGAGCGAAAAAAGCAAGCTGAATTAAAAAGGATTGAAATGCACCTCAACTTTTCACATTTTATATCACTTGCAAAATATCAATCAACAACATTAAACATGTTTTTTTTCAGTTAGCGTCACAACATCTTGTTCTTAACACCAAAAGATATATGTTCATGCCGCAGACTCTTCTGTAGCATAGAAGGAGCATCCCTCCTTGTTAAACCAATCCTTCCCTGAAGCAAACAGAACGTGTTTTACTTATATCGGTTCAGGGAATGCAAACCTCAAAGCGGACATTCATTACATATCATTTATCTATCTTTACAGCTCAGCTGGTGGGCACATCAGGGTACTCTGCTTGCCTTTGGCGGGCATGCATTGCTTTAAATGTTTGTTATCGCGAAGGACTGTCTCTGGTGAAAATAAAAAATGAATAAGATAAGCTGCTGATATGTATCTTATCTGTTATAACACAGGGCTTTTGCCCCTGTGGTTTATCTGTATCTGCATCTCCAGGGCCTACCTGTGTCTTTCTTTTCCTGAACACTACCCTTTCTCTTCCCCTGCTTTCTTATCACATATTTAACCTCCTAGCCAGTAACTCTCCTCCCTCAGCTTCTCAGTCTAGTGGAAAAACCTTATCGTGCCTCGCATAGGCTTTTACACAGATACTTTGGAATAGCACCATGTTGGTCTTTTCCCTTTTTATAGAAGGAGCTTAATTATACCATACAGACTCCTGCTCACTGATCTTCATCTGGTAAAAATACAACAATTTGATAATCTTAATATTTTTGAGTCCTTAAAAGCTTTTTATACTTAATCAACAGATTCTGCATTCATAATCTGTAGGCAATGGGACAATATTTGGTCTGAAGCATTCTGGTTTGTAGTCGAGTAAAGTATCGACCAATTACGTTCGAGCAAACTGTGGTCGAATGCAGTCCAGGTCGAGAGCAAAAGAGGCGGAACCCATTGGCCGAAATGCAATCTCTGACGATGATTTAGATATTTGTTGGTTTACAATTTGTTTGGAAACTATAGCTGCTCCAATCCAGTTGTAGTCGTGGTCTCTCAACTCCAACTCCAGTCTTGCATCTCAAGTTGCTAATCGGATTGTACACAATGAGCAGAGACCGGAAAAAGGGATTCTTGGCCTCGGATATTTTGCGGCTGCATCAGAATCCCCGGAAATGTAGCCCCATGGCCCCAGATGCTTATCCGTCGCCAAACCTATAGCCAATGGGTTCCCAGATTGCCTATTACATGCAATAGTATGTGTGCAAGTTGAAATGTTGGTGGAACTATAGAGTAACAGACTAGGCTACCAATTGGATTCATCATCTTGAGAGCATAATTATTAATTAATTATCTCTTTTAGATTTTTTTATATTCCTTGTGTAACAAATATTTTTTACATTTCTTTTGAAAAGTAGGACATATTTTTCCTGATTTGTATAGTGGTAGTATATAATCATAAGCAAATGGAACGAAGCAATTAGTTGCTGTTATTGGGATTATTATTATGATCTTTATTATTATTATTACCACAAAACATTTCTACTACTACTACTGCTACTACTACTAGTAATAATAATAATACATATCTGG